AATGTTTTCAACCTTTCTATCAAGACACAGTGAGTTAAAAACTTCTACCCCATATTGTTGTCTTTCATTTACATATTATATTCTTTACTTAGTGTTTTGAAATGTTGTCGTCCACAGACCAGAGAAAACAGGATCACTGCTATTTTGTCCTTCAAGCTTTAAAAAACTACAAATTGTTTAAAAGTGAGAAGGAAATCCAGGAAAGAAAGACTTTTCTATCATGTTTTTCCTCTATTTATTAGTGTGCTATATTTAAAGAAAGGAAGGCGTCTGGACAAATAAAAAGACACTGAGGAGGTGAAGCAGCTGTATGAATGGACGCCTGCTATAAACACCTTTTCATCTGTGCTGGATGGTTTAGATGACAAAGCCAGTTAACAAATCATACATGCATTCACTGTTCGCTCGTCTTTATCTGTGCATTGTAAGAAGCGCACACGCTTAAGGATTTAATGCTTTTATTAAAAGAAGACGCCGTCTGTCTGTTGACTGAGGCTCCAGCTTTTCATTTAGACACACGTGGACACATTCAGTGTGACTGATACAGATCATTTTGTTTGTTACTGAAACAACAGAACAATAGAAGCGATTAAAACAGCTTTGAATATTTGGAATAAAACCTACAGCCTGACTATAAGATGTCGTGAAAGACCACTAGTTAAGTCAGCCTGATGTCTTTTTCAGGTTCAGGATGGATAATGATGAGAACCTTTGTTGCTATATTGAACCAAGGACCAAGATAAAACTGCAAGAGAAAAAGCAGAAAGAAAAAGCCTTTAGGCAACAAAACACTAACAAAGATATGAGGAACATTGACAAGATTCATTCGTAATTCATGTTCTATACATGCAGTATGTTGTATTTTATCAATAAGCAGCAGTAGCTGCTGCCACTTCTGTGGAGCTTCGGTGCTCCTCTAAGAGTCTCAGAACATGTTGGATACACAGAAACTAATTAATCATTATTAAATATAAGTATCTGTAAAAGCAGGAATAATAACAAATGAACAGACAGACGGTTTAAGCAGAAACGACTGCATTTGTTTAATTAAAGAAAGGATATTTTTATATATACAGTATTTTTTTTACTTTTTTCTTTTTACATTAACTTCATTTTAGTTTAATTTAGAGGAAACTTTAAACTATTTAAAGTGTAATTATGATCCACTGAGTATTTGATTGATTACAGCAACATTGTGAAATGAAACTTGACATTATGATGTGTGAAATGTTGAAAAAGATCATTCTGAAATAAAAACCTAAAAAGTAATAATGAAATAAATTGAAATACAAGTTTTATTAAAGGATTTTTCACTGAGTTGCAATGTAATGACTTTTGAACTATTTTACTATTTATTTATATGTTTCTATTAAACATGATTTTTTTTTCCTGTCCTGTGAAAAACTGATGTGAGCTGGTGTAAAAAAAAGTCACTTGTTTTATCTTTGAGTAAACGTGACCAATGTCATTGTCCTTGTGAACTCTTCCTGAGACTTATGAACAGCTGGTAATTATTCCAAAACTTGTAATGCTACTTGACCAAAAGGGCTTCGTTGTCCCCAGATGTATTAGTTCAGTGTCATTAATTTTAAACGATTGGCTTAATACCCATTTAGGTCAGTTCAATACGATTCAGGTCCACTGTCTAATAATATGTGGTCACAGCAATAGTTACGGCAGAGCCACCCTAAGTGCTGCGCTGGTCGTTTCTGTGATCTGGACAGATCAATGTTGTGATAATGATTTAATCAATACGCTCCAAAGCCCTCAGGTCAGCAAAATAAAACAGAATTACTGCTTCAATATCAGACAGCCTGCTGTGGCTGTGGCTTCTACTGTTACTTCCCTGGAGTGAACAGTTTTAGGTGTATCAGCTGCTGTATGGTAAAAAATGTTTCACAGTTTTTGAAGTGTAATAAGGGAGGCAGTGGAATCCATCCATCCATTATCTATATACCGCTTAATCCTCACTAGGATCACAGGAGGGCTGGAGCCTGTCCCAGCTGACTTAGGGTGAAGGCAGGGGACACCCTGGACAGGTCACCAGTCTATTGCAGACACAATCAAGCATCCCACATTCACACCTACGGACAATTTAGAATCACCAATTAACCTCAACATGTTTTTGAACTGTGGGAGGACATCACAGAACCCGGAGAGAACCCACGCTGCACGGGGAGAACATGCAAACTCCACGCAGAAAGATCCCAGATGTCCTAACCAACCAGGAGTCTACTAGCAGTGAGGCAACGGTGCTAACCACCGAGTCACTGTGCAGCCCAGGAAGTGGAATGTAGATGAAAATTCACATGGTTGTACAGGTGAACAGCATGAGCTCCTCAACTTATGCTTTCTCTATTCTGATTCAAAACATAAGGCAAAGGAAAAATCCAAGAGTCCTGAGATCTTAAGTGATTGTAGTATAAAGACACCTGTACCTGGAAGGTCCAGTCACTAATGAATCAGTACTCTTGGATTTCGCTACACCATGAAGACAAAAAAAAAACTCTGAGCAACTCTGTGAAAAGATCTTATAAAAGCGCAAGTCAGAGGACGGATACAAGAAAATATCCTTTGGAGGACAATTAAATCCATCATTGAGAAACGGATGGAATATGGCACATGTGTAAATCTACCCAGAGCAAGCCATCCTCAAAGACTGAGCACTTGTGTAAGAAAGTGACTAGTAAGGGAGGCCACCGAGATACCTATGACTCCTTCCACTCTAACAAATCAGGATCAGAAGAAGACAGTCCTGCTCTGTCACTACTGCACAGGATGGTTTGTTTACCACGGCTGATTTCTTCGAGGTAATCCGCTGTGGTTCTTGACCGAGCATCACCTTGGTCTTAATGAATGCCAGAGCCTCCAATGTCTTGTCATTCATACGGTCACCGCTTTATAATGTCAACAGCCAGACAAAAAAATTATGAGAGAATTTTTCATTGAGCACTGAGAAACAAACAGCAGAGTGAAAACCAATGCATTTAAGATTTACACCTAAAAATACACCTGTCTAATGAGGCTGAACCACATCCTGGTGGTGCAGCAGAGAAGGTCCCCACAATCTTAAATGTCAAGGACTTTATTTACCCAAAACGAGGCAGGAAATCTTACAAGACATTTCATTTTGACTCACCAGCTGTTTTATTAAAATGAAGAACTTGGCATTTGCGTTTTGCTTGCCAGGCCTGCCAATTGGGTTTCTAACTGGTGACATCTCAAAGCTACAAAGTAGAAAATAAGACACATGCACTTAATTTGGCCATCAACAACAACAGGAGGACATACATGAAATACACACACAGACACACACAAAGAGTTTTAGATAAATATTCATGTACATCTCTGTCAGGATATAGATTCAATTCCTACACAACTGGAGTGCCTTCAAATTTTCACTAGTAAATACACAACATTAGTCTTGTGTGCTCCTGAATAAGGATTGGAGAGCATTTCAATTAGGAATCTTCCATGTTTGTAATCTGTTACTTTCATTCCTGAATTAGGTGCAGGTTCATCATTAAATCAAATGAGCTGTGTGCAGTCCACAAGACCCACGTTGTTGACTGGGCCAAAGTTAGAGGATCTGTCACCATACATAAAGAAGCAAACTCTTGAGAAAAAAGTCCCTTTAACAGGAAGCAACCAGTGGCAGGGCAAGCTTCAGGTTATCAGCCTTGACCAGTTGAGGTGAGAGGAGAGAGGAAACGGACAGCAGAGTGAACTCAATGCTGTTGTTTTACAGATACAGTTAGAGGTGAAATAATATCAACAGACCTTATTTGGCAAAATCAAAGACAAACAGAAAAAAAAGACGTAGAGTTCTATAAAACATACAATGTGTATGAAGAGTTTTCAGCCCCCTCCCACTTGGAGGTTTCTCCCTTATATTGCTTTTCAACATTGAGTCATTGTCAGTTTTTTTTTTCTTATGTAGAATTTACAAAAAACAAATAAATAAATAGATTTTCACATCAAACTCAAAACAGATTTGTACAAAGTCATGTCAATTTATTACAAAATTGAAAAGTAAAATAAGTGAATTCATAATTATTCACCTCCTTCAAGTCAGTATTTACTAGAACATCTCTAAGTCACTGAAAATCTCTTGAAGGAGAGTTAAATCCATCATAAAGAAATGAAAGAAATATGGCAATATGTGTAAATCTGCTGAGAGCAGGCTGTCCTCAAAAACAGAGTGACTGTCCTAGAATGAAACCAGTCAGGTGAATACTTTCTATTTGTATTTTATTTGTACTTTTTATCAGGTGTGTGCAGATACTCCAGTAATACTTGACATGTATTATTTAGTACAGGTTTCAGCTGTAGGCTCACTAGTAAAGTAGGACATTCGTAGCCTGAAAAGCAGGAAGTTACCAGGTAGATAGTGGCAGTGGGTGAGTCTTAATGAAGGCCTGTGATCAACTGTAGATGTGGTGTTCCTGAGGAGACATGATGGTGATGTGTGCTCACTGAGTCGTTCTTCAGGTGTCACACAGATCACAAACTGATGTAGTGGACTCAACAACACTGATGTTTGTGGTCCAAAACACAGACAGTTGCTTTAAAATGTATCAACTGTCTGCTTGAAGAGACTTTATGGAGAACCACTGAGTGATGGAGTAAACAGCAGGTAGCTGAGACTAATCACTGCTGTGGAAGAAGAACAAGGAACAAGCTTTCCACATGGGCTTCATTTAATCAGCTGACTTCTTCTACAAGATGGATATACAATGAGTGTATGAAAAAATATCTGAAATAAATGATTCCTGTTTGGATTATCATTGTTTGAGTTATTTATAACTAATTTGCATAATCTTGGTTGTTTAGAATCCCCTCATTGTGATGTCACATTCCGTGTATCATTCTAAAGGCAGAGGAGACATTTAGAACACTCACTCTGTAGCAGTACACACACACAAACACACTCTTCAGACATCTGAGAGCATTCGTATCGCAGAATATCTTGGTTTTACTCGAGAAACTTCAACAACATCATGTTTTCTGACTCTTCACCAGAGCAGATCAGCGTTTCCTCTGGAAAAAATCCAGGTAAGTGGGTAGAATCTGCAGTCACAGCTCAGAGTAATGGTGGTTTGTATTTTTCAAATCCTCAAAATATATCTGGAAAGAAATTCTGTGCTGTGACGTA